CACCAGGCTGTCTCCAGTCTGTGGAGGTCACAAACAAGCCTGAGCTGCTCACCTTTTGTGAGTTCACATGCTCTTCTGCGAAGGTGTCTGCTGGATGTGTTTCTAGACCCGAAATAGCTCTTATCATGACATGTGTTCACTTTTCATTTCAGACGACTACCAAATGCCCTCGGAAGAGGTTGCATGAACTTAAATGCAAACTGATCTTCTCCGTTTAAAATTGCATTTTCATCGTCACTTTATTTTATAGATAGGATAGTGGATTCCAAGAGGCAATTCTGACAGGAGAAATTCCTAGGAAAGCAGCTTTCTTCTACTTTATGATCTTTAAAAAAATGATGTGACTAATAATTAGCAGTATGTATACTAGTTTATTTATTTCAGTTCAGTTTTGTGCTAACCCAGCTGGCCGGGAAGATTAGCTGTACAGGGAGAGGGTCGGTGCTTCACTAATGAAAAGTCACTGAGTAGGTATTTCGTGATGAAAATGAGGAGATTTATGTTTCTTGTGCAAAGGCCTCGCAAACCCTCTTTGGCAGCTTGCTCCGCAGCAGTCAACTCACAAACTGTGCTTCCACTGCCTGCCAAGCTCCTGGCTGGCTGTCAACACAGCTGGTGGTCCTGAGGACAAGGACATTTTAATATCCCACCAGGGGGCTCCAATGTGTCCCTTCCCCCAAGCCCTCACAGATCTTCAGTGCCATGCAAAAGCATACGTGCTCCATGAGTGTTCGCAAGTGGAGTGTGGCTGGAAGAAGAGGACGAGCCGGGTGGGCTGCGCCCGGAGGCTTCCTGCCCCAAACAATCCAGATTTAAAAGCTTTTTAAAACTTTATTATATTTATAGATATATAAAATTTATAGATATGTAAAAATGCTCAGGACCCAAGATATCAAAATTCATAATATCTTGCACTCCACCAACTATTAACTAAGCATCACATGGAAAAATAGAACCCATGACAGGAAGAGAAACCAATCAATCAAAACTGATACAAACACTTGCCTGACCGCATTCCATACGATCTGAAACGTTACCGGTGTATGTTCATTGTACAGTGTTAGGTTCGTGAAGACAATTTCCTTGGAGTAGATCAATTATTTTGACTGTGTTCACCATCACCCCTATAACCCACCCTTCTGTTTAAAATATTTTTAAATTTTGGTGATAGTCTCCTTTCTAGTCCTTTATGTTATCTGCATTGAATGTCAAGTCCCCTTAATGGGTGTAGGTGTAATCCTGGAACATTCACGGGGCGCTAGGAAAACGTAGTTTAAAAAGACTCCAGGGTCTGAGAAGATGGCTTCATAGGCATGAGGAGCTGAGTTTGGATCTTTAGCACCCACATATAAAGCTGGGTATGGCTGTGTGTGCCTGTGACCCCACCACTGGGGAGTAGGGGCAGATGGATCCCAAGAGCTCACTGGCTAGCCAGCCTAGCCTAAATGTGAGCTTCCAGAATCTCTGTCTCAATGCAAATGAAGTAGAGAGCAATAGAGGGAAATATGTAGTGTCTTGCTCTAGCTTCTGCATGTTCTCACTCCAGCATGTACACACACACACACACACACACACACACACACACACACACACACACACACACGCCTGTGTCTTTACCGTGGTCTGTGGTCATAAATGTGAAGTTTGAAGGATGACAACAGAGGAGGCCCACATTTCTCTTTCTTTCACAGTTTCTCGGGAAGGATATTCCTTTTTATTGTTGATCTGAGCAACCCCTGCATATGATTTTCCTTCTCTCTCTCTTTTTTTAAAAAATATTTTATTTATTATGTATACAGTGTTCTGTGTGTATGCTTACACACCAGAAGAGGGTACCAGATCTCACTACAGATGGTTGTGAGCCACCATATGGTTGCTGGGAATTGAACTCAGGACCTCTGGAAGAACAGCCAGTGCTCTTAACCTCTGAGCCATCTCTCCAGGCCCAATTTTCCTGCTTTTATTCAATCAATAACTTTTATCTTTTCACTTAGAAGGAAGGATGTAAGAGCACCTTCCGGGCTGTCATCCCTTGCTGTCACTATTCTTGCACTTGGGGCTGTTTTTAAATAAAACAAACATTACTTAAACACAAATGTGGCACTGTGGGACTTCAGTCATCACCTGACCCTGTGATGCTTTGCTAGCATCTGGTACTGAGATTCTCTGATACTCATTCTGGTAATGCAGACAGTGTGTGGGTCATGTATACAACGTGGCTACCCTGAATAATCGGATTAGTTCACATGCTAGGTGGGAGTCTATTTTCTCATGTTAGAGTGGTGTGCAATTTCAAACTTAGGAATTATTTATTTGTCAAGATTTTCTAGTTACTACTTTCAGGCCAAGGCCGAAACCTCAGAAATCAAAATTTCAGATAAGGGAAGACTACTGTATTGAGTGGCTTCATCTTCTGTGACTGTACCAGATAATTTTATGTCCATTCATTGACTGGAATTTTGGCCACGCAACCCAGGGAACTTTCTCATTGTTCACTGAAAAACTAATGTGAGCAAAGGCTCACCTAGACATAGATTATGGCAGTGGTTATACAAACTGAGTAAGACTAAAATCCTTGGAAATGTTCTTTGTAAGTGATAAATTTAGTACATTTGTATCTCAAGAAGATTCACATTTTTTTCATTTTGATACTGAAAGAAAACTACCTTTAAAAAATAAGGAATGTAATAAAAATACACCCAAGAGCCAGTTGTGTTTTGGTTTGAAGTGTGGGGCTGAAAGCGTGAGCTGCTAGGGAAGGACCCATATTGCACACACAGCCCTTGTCCTCAGCACCTCTCTTTCCCCTGACCCGAAGCTTCCTGTCAAAATTGCCCTTGGCCATTTTAAAAAGGAAAACATGTGAAACTTCACAGAAAGCACACTATGCATGTTTTTAAGAATTACGCGTATGTGTGTGTGCCTATGCCTGTGTGTGTATATGCATATCTCCCTTGGAGACCAGAAGAGGGCATCCGATATCCCTGGAGCTAGCTGGAGTTGCAGATGGTTGTGTGCTGCATGGGGACCAAACTTTGATCCTTATAAAAGACCTAAGTGGGGATCTTCATCTTTCCACTGTGAAAAAAAAAAAAGTAAAAATAAGTAAATAAAGCCAAACTGAGTCATCTTGGCTTGCTAGCCTACCTTAACAAGGCTTTCCCAAGAGATGGATTTATTCTGGCTGTTTTTACATTTATCCTTGGAGCAGGAGCTGAGAATATACAACTCAGTTAGCAGAGTGTTGCCCTGCATGCACGAAGACACCCTTAGTCCAACCACGAGCACGATACAGAAGGAAAGGAAAAGAAACAAGCTGTGCTGGCTAGATTTTGTTTTGTTTTGTTTGTTTGTTTTTGTCCATTTGACAAAAGCTGAGTCATTTGGGAAGAGGGGATATTCACTGAAAAGATATCCATCAGATTGGGCTGAGAGATAGACCCATGTGTGGTCTTTACTGAGAAATAGATAGATGGTGTGTAAGACTGTACCCTCCTGAGTTCTCAGCCAGTGAGGAAAGAGGAGGAAGGACCTGCCACCAGGGCAATAAAAACTGTTCTTTGCACTCCTGAGACACACCCTCCATTTTGTCTTTCTCATCTCTGTTGGTGGTGCCCAGCTTTGCAAGGTCTTAAATAAATTGCTTTGTTTTACTGCTCTTGGTCCCTTAGTTCCTCGGGTCTGCCCGTGGGTGGCAGAGAAATTCTCTGCAGTGGAACCTTGAGGTCATGGGTCATGACACAGGGCTCATGTGAGCTTTTGCCATGGAGAGAAGGGCTGACAGAATACAACTCTTCCAGAGGACAGGAGGGACAGCCATTCTTGGTAGCCTTTCCTCTGCAGCCTAGGGGCTAAGATGCCTCCTTTGTCTGGTGGTGTTTTTTGTTTGTTTGGTTGGTTTTTTGTTGTTGTTTTCCTCTCCTAAACAGGACACTGGTATTTTGTTATTTATTTATTTATTTATTTATTTATTTATTTATTTATTTATTTATTTATTTATTTTTGAGACAGTAGTTTTGGTGCCTGTCCTGGTCTCACTCTGTAGACCAGGCTGGCCTCGAACTCACAGATTTCCTCCTGGTTCTCCCCACAGAGTGCTGGGATTAAAGGCGTGCACCACCGCCACCCGGCTACACTGGTATTTT